GTCTCTCATACTTTGGACATATTGTCAGGAGAGAACAGTCGCTGGAGAAGGATGTCATGCTGGGGTAAGATGGAGGGTCAGAGAAAAAGAGGAAGACCTCCAAAGAGATGGATCAGCCAGGTGGCCTCATTGATGGACTTAAGTGTGGCAGCGGTAGTGAGGTTGGCCCAGGATCGGACATTGCTTCGTTCTACTGTGCATGGGGTCGCTATGAGTCGGTTCTGACTCGATGGCACCTGACAACAACATCCCCAGCACATAGCATAGTGTTTGGAAAATCATCTATGTTATGGATTGGATTGTGTCCCCCAAAATATGTATTATAAACCTTAGCCCCTGGTGATGTTTTAGTATAAGCTTCTAACTGTAAGGCAGTTATAACCCACCCATCCCTCTGTGGGAGGACAATGAGGCTTTCTGTTCCCAAATAGATTTACAATCTCAAAAACTGTATACAGTGTCACTGTGAGTTGTAATTGGCCTGATGGCAGTAGGTTTGGATTTCGGTTACAGTAGTTTAGGAGCTCTGGTTGTGTAGTGGGTTGAGAATTGGACTGTTAACAGAAGGGTCAGTGGTTTGAACCCACCAGTCACTCCATGGGAGAAAGATGAAATAACTCAGCTTCCATAAAGACTCATTGCCTCAGAAACCCACTGGAGTAATTCTACTCTTCTCTGTAGTGTAACTATGAGTCTGAATTGACTCAGTGGTAGTGGTTAAAACTGGTTATGATCCTCTTTGGAAATGGGTTTTCTTAGTTATGTCAGTGATATAATATTAATGTAGGGTGCATCTTAAACCAATCTCTTTTGCAATATAAAAGAACAGATTAAACAAGCAAGAAAACAAATATGGAGGAAGATAGATTTGGGGTCACATGAAAGGTCACTAGGGGACCGAGGAACTGAAGCTGAGAAGAGACAAACTGACAGAGAAAGCCTTTTCCTAAAACCAGCACTCTGAGCAGGAGCTTCTAGCCTTCTAAACTCTGAGAAGGAATCCAGGTGGCTTAGTGGTAGACATTCATCAACAAAAGGCCAGTAGTTCCAAAGGAGAAAGATGTAGTTGTGTGCTTCCATAAAGATTCACAGCCTTGGAGCAGTTCTTCTCTGTCTTATAGGGTTTCTATGACTCAAAATCCATTCTACAGCAGTGAGTGGATAAACTGTAAAATAAATAAAGAAATGCATTTGTTAGTTACCCAATTGTGGTATTTTTGTTATAGCAGTATTAAGAAACTAAGACAATCTTTATTTAATAAATATTCTATTTATAAACAAATTATATTAATAATCGTAGAGGGTTTTATAGAGAAATTGGTATTAGAGTTCTACAGTAAAGGATATGAGTAATCTAGAATGAGAGAGTGCTTTCCAGCACACAAAGGCAATCAAGAGGAAATGAGCTTAGAGAGGATAGGGCAATAAGCTCATGGGCTCTAAGCAGAATTGTGCATTACCCTTAGAAGATCTTTCTTGTTTTTCAATCCTGTTTTTGTTTGTCTCCTCCCTCTTGATTGTAAACTCCAAGAAGGCAAACACTATTCTGATTTCATTTTTACTGTATCTCCAGTATATGCTTGGTATACGTTGTTGTTGTTGTTAAGTGCCGTCGAGTCCGTTCTGACTCACAGTGACCTTTTCCAAGGAGCAGCTGGTGGGTTTGAACTGCCAAACTTGTAGTTTGCATTCCAGTGATGATCTATAGTGCTGTACCAGGAGTCCTGGTATATAATAAGCACTTAACAAATGCTTCTGAAAGGAAGGTAGGCAAGGAGAGAAGAGAGGTCAGTGAGTAGGTAGATGCATAAATGGGTAGGAAGGTTGGAATATTGATATGAGATTGTTGCATTGTTATGGTCTCCACTTGCTTCTGAGACATAGTGACCCTGTATAGGGATTTCAATGAGAAGCAGGTGAGTTTGAGCCAGTCCAATGCTTATATCACACCACCACATTAGGATTGGACCATATGAAATTGGTTTAGTAGGAGATTGTTGTTGTTATATGCCATGTAGTCGGTTCCGACTCATAGCGACCCTGTCCAGGGTTTCCGAGGCTGTAAATCTTTATGGGAGCAGAAAGCCTCATCTTTCTCCCACAGAGCAGCTGGTAGTTTCGAACTTCTGACCCTGAGGTTCGCAGCCTGATTCATAACCACTACTATATGAAATAGCATATTTGTATAGATCAGTTATCCTTTAGCCAATTATCATCTGTCTCCTGTTTAAACCTGTAATTTCATCTTGCAGGGATGCTATTTCTTCATTGCTTGAATGTAGTGGAACTTGAAACATATTTTATTTGCTGTTTTGTGTTTATCAGAAGCTGAATATATTTTTGATAAAGGTTGAAAGAGTAGCAAACCATTTGACAAGAAGATGAAAAAATAATGAAGAATTATTAATAAAACTACCTTCCCAATAGCATTTGAGCTCTGTGGTCTGGAATTTCACAATCTATCCACTGTTTGAGAGCATCCATTTTTTTGTTTCCATTTAATTATTCCCCACTAAAAAAATATATATAAGTTGCTATGCACATATATCCAAGTAAGTAGATGTCAGAATGTGGATTTTAAAAACCTTGAAATTTTATTCATTTAGTGAAGAAACCCAAGTGGTGCTTCTCACATTTTTTGTCTCCTTGCAGCAGTGCAGGAAGAAAGGCACTGAATGGAGTATACTAACCACAAATTGATATAGAAAAAAAATTAAGAAATCAAGTTTTCTTGCAGGCTGAGCAAGGACTAGAACCAGGACCTCAGAGAATAAGCCTGTGCTTTCAATTGTGCCTTATTGAGTTGTGTGTCTGACTGCCAATAAAACCTCTGGATGGTACTTAACACATATTTTTCCTGTCATCCACGACTGGGTAGTCTGCATTCAGGATAGAGGAGTGTTTGAGTACCCTGATCCTCAATGATTAGCCTTAATCCGACATCATATAGAAAATCTCCTAAAAGTCAGGTCCTCTGTCTGTCTTGAAACAACAATCAGATCACTGGATGACCCTGGACAAGTCATTTGTCCTCTTTGAGTCTCAACTTCACATTAGTACAGTTACCAGTTAGACTCAATGATCCTGGCATTCCCTTCTATCTTCAGTATTGAGTGAGCCACTCATGCCTGAGAATCACTAAATAATGTAGGAAGAGAGGCAGAAAACTGCATCTTAACTTGGAGCTGTATCTGAACATGGTCCATGAAAAGAGCTGAAGGTCAAGAACTAGAGTGGTAATCATCTACCTACACATCTCAGCCATCCACCCATTTGTCCAGTCTAATGGTAATTGTTGTTGTGGCAATGACAGGGTATACAATACAATGCAACATATGATTCCCACCAAAGAAAGAATCCCTATGCATGGGGGAAGCTTTGTTGAGAAAGGAGTGCTGCTTTAAAGTGAGCATTCCAGTTGGGTCCTATGAATTATGATAAATTCACTCAACCTCTGGAACCACACAAGCCTGATTTCAAATTCTGGCACTTTATCACTTAATAGCTGCATAATCCTAGGGAAGCTTATTTATCATCTATGCCTCAGTTCTTCTTTCGTAAAAGATACCAATATCATTGGGTGGTTGAGATATTGTAGGTTGAATATTTAGTACAGCGTTCTCACTTAATGTTAGTTGCTGTTATCATTGCTATAAATTTAATTATTATTATGATTGATGAATACTCTCCCTTTGTGTTTTGTAGATTATAAAGCTCGAGAAGAACGGCATTGGCTACCACTATATCCTTGCAAATCTGGTGAGTAGAGCTCTGTGGGCTTTCAGTTCAGAGCCTTTCTGTTTTGGGGGGCCTCTAAATTGTTTCCATGTTCCTGGCTAGTGCCTACTGTATGGTGGAAATAATAGGTCTGCTTTCTGTCCTGGCAATTAACCTTTCCCTGTTTATCAAACCACAGCACACTGTTGGTGAGCTTGCAACCTTCTATTGAATTGAACATGCTGGTGGACAGGACTTCCTCAGTCATTGTAACTTCAGCATCAATTGACCTTGCAATATGGACACACTCACATTGCAAAAATTAACATACTTTTTAATTCATTCAAGATGTTTGAACCTAACTGCTTTTGACCCTCTATTTTGACACCAGTGATAGCTTTGTTGTTGTTGTTGTTTGTTGTTGTTGTTAAGTGACGTCAAGTCGATTCCGACCCATAGTGACCCTGTACAGAGTTTCCAAGGCTGTAAATCTTGACGGGAGTAAAAAGCCTCATCTTTCTCCCGCAAAGCAGCTGGTAGTTTCGAACTATTGACCTTAAGGTTCGCAGTCCGATTCGTAACAAGTACGCTACCAGAACTCCTTGTTGTTGTTGTTGTTGTTGTTAGATGCCCTCAAATGGGTATGGACTCATGGCAATCCCATGTGTACAGAGTAGAACTATGGTTCATAGGGTTGTACCTTTTAAAAAGATCATCAGACCTGTCTTCTAAGCTGCCTCTGATTGGGTTCAAAATGCTAACCTTTTGATTAGTAATGGAAGACTTAATCATTTGTGCCACCCAGGGACATAGAATAATTTTTGTTTGTTGTTTATAAATAGAAACATTTAAATAAAAATTCTACTAATGACAAACCTTTAGCCCAGAACAATTTTCCAGCAAGGATACTATTATACCAATTTAGTTGTTATTCACTTTCTATATGGCATAAATAAGCCTTTTTTTTTTTTTTTTTTTTTTTAAGTCTTTCCATTTGAATGTACTGCAGTTCTTTTGATCAGGGTACAGTTATTTTCCATTCCATGTTACAAAGAAGATTTTCTTATCAAAGAGAATTTTTGTACATGCCAGATTTTACCTAGTAATGTGTACCATGATGAGTTCTGTTTGGGGGTAACTGTTTCCATCAAGTCTGTTCTTTCTGAATTGTGTTTTAGAATCCACTTGAAGGCCCATTCAATTATTTTATCATGGAGTTTGATTCTTCTATCAATTCTTTTCCAAAGTCAAATGTAATTTTGTCCTTGTTGACATTTTTTGAAAAAGCATTGTTGTTGTTAGGCGCTGTCAACTTGGTTCCAAAAGTTTGTTCAGCTTGAAAAATGCTGAACAGGTCTTCCCTTTTGCTTTTTAACTCCAGATCTTTGCAAAAGTCATTACAATAATGACTTTGTCTTCTCAAGATGCCATTTGAGATGTTCTGTCTAGCTTTTTTACTTCCTAGCTTCTTCCATTTGCTTTAGCTTCTTAACTAACACTCAAAAGCAAGTTTCAGAGTCTCTTCTGACATCCGCTTTGGTTTTTTCTTTTTTCCTGTCTTCTTAACGACACTTTACTCTCTTCCCATATGTTGTTCTTGATGTCATATCACAAAGTTTCTGGTCTTTGGTAATTAGTGTCTAATACAGCAAATCTGTTCTTGATATGGGCTCTATATTCAGGTGGGCTCTATTCAAGGTCATATTTTAATTCTTTTGGAACTGAAACAGCCTGAACTTACATTTAAGCAATTAATGGTCTGTTCTACAATCGTCCCATGACCTGGCTGATGGTATTGAACTTCTCCATCATCTCTCCTCATAGATATTGTCCCTTGGATTCCTGTGTGTTCCATTTGTTGTTGTTGTTGTTAAGTGCCGTGGAGTCGGTTCTGACTCATAGCGACCCTGCACAGGGTTTCCGAGGCTGTAAATCTTTACGGGAGCAGAAAGCCTCATCCTTCTCCCACGGAACCGCTGGTAGTTTCGAACTGCTGACCTTGCGGTTCACAGCCCGATTCGTAACCACTACGCTACCAGAGCTACTTGTGTGTTCCATTTAGTGAGGTTCAAGTGTATAGTCGCTTTCCAAGACCATATTTTCCAAGTATGGATCCTTCCTTTCTGTTTCTAAGTTTCACATTCCAATCACCAGCTGTTTCTTCTCATTTTGAGTTGTCCCACATCAGCAAATGTTGTTTTTGTTAGGTGCCATCCAGTCAGTTTCAGTTCATAGCAGTATTGTGCAGAACAGAATGAAACACTGCCCAGTCCTGTGTCAACCTCACAACGTTTGTTATACTTGAGACCATTGCTGCAGCTACTATACCAATCCATCGGGCTGGAGGTCTCCCTCTTTTTTGCTGACCTTCTATTTTACTAAGCATTTTGTCCTTCTCCAGGGACTTGTCCCTCCTGATAACATGTCCAAAGTATGAGAGACAAAGTCTGGCTATCCTTGCTTCTGAGAAATACTGTAGCTATACCTCTTCCAACACAGCTTTGTTTGTTCTTCTGGCAGACCATGATACTTTTAACATTCTTTTTCAACACCATATTTCAAATGCATCCATTCTTCTCCAGTCTTCCGTATTTGTTGTCCAACTTTCACATGCATATAAAACTAATGAAAATACTGTGGCTTGGGACAGGTGCACGTTAATCTTCAAACTGACATCTTTGTTCATGAACACCTTAAAGAGGTCTTGTGCATCAGATTTGGCTAAAGCAATATGCCATTTGATTTTGTGAGTATTGATGGTGTATCCAAGCACAGTGAAGTCTGACAACTTCGATCTTTGCTCCAATTATCATGATGTTATTTATGGGTCTAGTGGTGAGGATTTTCACTTTCTTAACATTGAGATGCAACCCATTTTGAAGGTTATGGGCTTTGATCCTCATCAGTAAGTATTTTAAGTCCTCCTCTCTTTCAGCAAGTTTGGTTGTATCATCTGTATATTGCAGGTTGTTAATGAGTCTTTCTCCAGTTCTGATGCCACATTCTTCTTCATATAATCCAGCTTCTCAGATTATTTGTTCAGCATAGAATGTAGGTGTGGTGAAAGACTACAACCTGGCACACAGATTTCCTGATTTTAGTGTCCCCTTGTTCTAGTTGAATGACTGCCTCATGGTCTATATCAGGTTCTTCATCAGTATAAGTGTTCTGGAATATTCATTCTATGCAATGTTGTCCATAGTTTGTCATGATCCACACAATTGAAAGGCTTTTCATAGTCAATAAAGCACAAGTGAACATCTTTCTGGTAGTCTCAATTTGGAGCCAAGCTCGATCTGATGTCAGCAGTAATATTTCTCATTCCACTTCCTCATCTGAATCCTGCTTGAATTTCTGAAAGTTCCCTGTCAATGTACTGTTGCAGCAAAATTTTCTAGCAAAATTTTACAGCATGTGATGCTAATGATATTGTTCAAAGAGTTCCACATTCCATTATGTCACCTCTCTTTGTAATGGGCACGTTTATAGATCTCTTCCAACCAGTTGGCCAGGCAGATTTCTTGGTATAGATGAGTGAGTGCCTCCAGTGCTGCATCAGTTTGTGGTAATATTTCAATTTGTATTCCATTAATTCCCAAAGCCTTGTTCTTTGCCAATGTCTTCAGCACACATTGGAATTCTTCATTCAATACCTTTGTCACTTGGTCATATGCTTCCCCTTGAAAATAGTTGAATATCATGCATTTATTTTGGGTGCATAGGATTTTTAAAAAACAAAAACTTTTATTTTTAATTGAGTCATAGTTTACATGGGATAACTTGGGTTTTGCACTCATTCTATCGTATTTTGTTTCACTGCAATGACTATAATCCCTTTCTTGCATCACCATTTGACAGTATTTGCTTCTATTCTCTTTGTTGTTGCTATGTACACAAAAACACTCAGGAATATAGAATCATTTAAACAACCAAAAGGCACATTCTACAATCCAGCTTCCAGACCACTATCTGTGACACAGCCTTTCTCTTTCCATGAGTCTGGAGTTCTCAGCTGTCCTATCTCTCCATGCCATCACCTCTGCCTGCCTCCATCTCTGGTGCTGCTGCTACTCTGGTTAGGGTTCCTTCTATAATCTTTTGATGCTTTCTGCATTGTTCAATATTTTGCCTATAGAATCCTTCAGGACAGCAAGTTGAGATTCAATTCCCACCCCCACCCCCCCTTAGTTCTTTCAGCTTGAGAAATGCTGATTGTGTTCTTCAGTTCTGTTTTTTTCAATCCAGTGCTTTGTGTATTTCATTATAATAATTGACTTTTTCTTCTCAAGCTTCCCTTTCTGTTCAGCTCTTTTTCCTCTTCATTTCTTCCATTTGCTTTAACATCTCTATGCTGGAGAGCACGTTATAGAGTCTGTTCTGACATCCATTTTGGTCTTTTCCTTCTCTTTTGTCTTTTTAATGATATTTTGCTTTCTCACTGTATGATATTCTTCATGTCATTGCACAACTCTTTTGGTTTTAAGTCATTAGTTAGTGTCTAATGCATCAAATCGGTTCTCTAGATGATCTCTGAATTCAGGTAAGATATGTTCAAGGTCATATTTGGCTCTCCTGGACTTGTTTTAATTTTCTTCAGCTTCAGCCTGAACTTGCATATGAACAACTGATGGTCTGTTTTACAGTCTGTCTCTGGTCTTGTTTTGGTTGATAATATGGAGCTTTTCCACTGTGTCTCCATCTGCAGTCAATTTGATTACTGTGTATTCCATCTGGTGAGGTCCATGTGTATAGTCATTTTTTATATTGTTTAAAAAAAGTGTTTACAGTGAAGAAGTCATTGCTTGCAAAATTCTATCATGCATCTTCAGTATTGGTTCTATCACCAAGGCCATCTTTTCCAACTACAAAGAGGATCCTTCCTCTTTGTTCTAACCTTTGCATTCCAATTGCTAGTAATTATTAATGAATCTTGATTGTCTGTTCCATCAATTTTAGACTGAAGAAGTTGGTGGTGGTGGTGGTTATGTGCCATGGAGTCGATTCCGACTCATAGCAACCCCGTATAGGGTTTCCAAGGCTGT